TCATGTCGTTTGTTGGTAAATCATAAACTGCATTTTCCTTTTACTGCAACAAGCAGAGACACTTCATAGTGTTATTTGCAGTAGCTGTTGCAGCAGAGTAAGCTCTGTGTTAGAGGGAGAAGCACAAAAACCTTGTTGGGATTGTAGCTACTGTTTCTCTCCACAGGGAAAAATAAGGCCCTAGCACAGCTGAACAGTTTTATAAATGCCCTGCACAAAGCACACTGCACATTATTTTCTGGTAGGTATAATCGTACATAGTCCAATTAAATATGAAAAATACATTTTTAATGTTCTCATTTTTATGTGCAATTCTATCCAGAAGATAATGCATTTCCTTCTCTATCTTGCCAGTTTCCCCCATTACTCCAGCCTGCTTAATAGCCCCATCTGTTTTCAGCTGAGGAAGATTAATGACCAGAAGCACTGGGAGTCCTGGCAAATCAGCAGAGATATTACTCTTAGGCATTGCTCAGGACATTTGTTCCTACTCTGCCAGATACTGTATGGGTGTTCCTCAGGTTTCAGGGCAGCAACAGCAGAACACAGCAAGCTCAGCAAGTGGGGTGAGTGTCATTAATTATGAACTTCAACCAAGTCTAATACGTTCAATGGTGGGAGTGTTAAAAAGAGAATGTATCATTGTTAGCTCAAAAAATATTTCAATTTTAGGGAAAAAAAAAAGCATCTAAGTTTCTTCAACTCCAGTGAGCGAGACTGGAACAAATAAGTCACTAGTAGACAATGCCAACCAATAATCTAGTATTTCCACTGCAGTATTGAAAATACAGAAGAATTGATAGCTAAATTAAGTTATTTTTACAGTAGTAATTCATAATGTATATTTAGATGATGTGTTTACATCCAAACACTTCAGCATATTGGGGATTGTTTGAAGACTGCTACTTTGTTTCACAACATAAAATTGCTTGGAAAAGCTATTTATTTGTGTTGTCGATCATATGAACATATTTGTTCAGACATATTAGTGGATACTCCAGTGGAAGTGTTAGCTCATTGAGGGTGTCAGGATGCAAAAGTTCTGTTCTACAAGCTTTTCTTATTTGGAGGGATCCTGTGGAGCTGATGGAAATTATACATTCAGAGGCCTTGTAGCACTCACCCCTAGCCTATGAATGCTAACATCTGAACTTGCAAGAGTGATGAATCCCAGCTCTGTCCAAGCATGTCTGCTCCATCACTGGGAGCACTCTAGAGGCTATCAGCAGTCTTGTCAGGTAAGCACTGAAAAATGGAGTAAATAATTGGAGGTATGAGGGGTTTGTTTTAAGTAGCCAGATTTCCAGAGGAATGAGGAAGACATAAGCATTCTGAAGTTCCTCTGAAGATCTGTTCATAGGATCTGTGGGTTGGACTAAGCTCACTCTGGATTTGAGGCATTTCTTACCCAACACTGGCCAATGTGCCCCACCTGGAGTAAATTCTCTGGATTATAAAATTCGTGAAAGTCAGCACTGAGATTAAACCATTCTCAGCTCAAAGATCTTTAATTTCTTTCATTTCTTTGGATCCCCACACTGATCTCTTGGTGCTCAGGAAAAAGGAAAAGAAGAAAAAAGATAATAGCAAAGATAACAGTAGAGTTCTGACTACCCAAACTTTCTTAAATTGTCAGCACTGAGGTCAATGGTTGGTGCAAAGCTAGAGTTAGTGAGGTTCTTAAATTTCTCCTTTTGATCTGCCTGTGGAACTGTTGTTCCAGCAGAACTCTCCAGTGATGCTATAAGGAAAGGAAAAGCTCTCCAATGCTGATTGATCCATGAACTCTTCATCCAGTCAGAACTAACCACCAGCAGCAGGAAAGAAGCGGCGCCACTGTCTGCTTTTGAGGTTTTTTTAGAAGGCAATAGTGAGTTCAGTCTGAAATCTATTATTCTGATGATAAACTTTTCTCAGCTTTTCTGCATTTTACATGTATACTTGCTGTGAGTGACAGAGGCCCCTTGGGGTTAGGAAAAGATGGGACTCAGCAGTTTGCTGGTTCAGAATGAGAACAAGATATGTGTATATTCTCCCTTGACACCTTGCACAGTGCTTACTAATTATGTTAGCACCAAATAATCCAGCTGACCTGAGACTCAGTGTTTGGGCTGGACAGTAAGCTTCTGCTGTGTTGATAAGAGAACAGACAGATAAGCAAAATTATGCTTTCTGTCCGTTACCTCAATGAATATTTCTATATGGGTTCAAATGGCTCATGGAAAGTTTACATCTTGTGTTTTTCACCGTTAAGGTTTATTCAAAGAATAGCAAAGTCAATTAAAAAAATAAAACCAACCAAACAAACAAACAGAAAAACCCCTATGAGTTCCATAAGGATCCACAAGGATTAGCATTCACAGAGAGTCACCAGTGCAAAATATTTTTCAAGTTCACCTGCCAGCTTTTGTCATGAATGCAGAGAATAGAGGCACCACTGTCATCTTTCTGCTTATACTTCATAGAGCAAAACAAATGCATGTACTACAAGCAACTCTCTGAATCAGATCACCCAATACACAAATATTTTCTGTTTTGTTTCTTTGATTTACATTTTCATATGTGAAATTGAAAGTTTGCAAAAACTTTTTTATTCATATTGTTCAATTTAAATATTTATATTCACTGTTGAGTATGAGTCAGCAGTGCCCTGGCAGCCAGAAGGGCCAACTGTGTCTTGGAGGGCGTCAGGCAAAGCATCGCCAGCTGGTTGAGGGAGGGGATTGTCCCACTCTGCTCTGCACTGGTGTGGCCTGACCTTGAATGTTTTGTGAAGTTTTGGGTGCAACAATATAAGAAGGATCTAAAGCTGTTAGAGAGTGTCCACAAAGATGCTGAAGGGTCTACAGGGGAAGCCATACAAGGGGTGACTGACATCACTTGACTTCTTCAGCCTGGAGAAGAAAAAACTTGAGGGGAGGCCTCACAGCAGCCCACAGCTTCCTTACAAGGGGAAGCAGAGGAGCAGGCACCCATCTCTTATCTCTGGTAACCGGTGACAGGACTCAAGGGAGTGGAATGAAGCTATGTCAGGCTTAGATTGGTTGTTAGGAGAAGGTTCTTCACCCAGAGGTGGTTGGGCACTGGAACAGGCTCCCCAGGTCACAGCACCAAGCCTGACAGAGTTGAAGTGCTTGGACAACACTCTCAGGCTCATGGTGTTGTTCTTGGGGCTGTCCTGGGCAGGGCCAGGAGTTGGACTTCATGATCCTTATCCCTTCCAACTCAGGATATTCTATGATTCTATTCTGTTTATTTTCTTAATATGTTATAGCTTTCTTCTGCATCTGTCAGGCTTGAAAACATTACAGCATTGTCTGTGGTGAAGATAGAATTGAGGGATTGCTGAGGTGTCCTCAGCACCATGATAGTGCAGAAACAACCTTTCCCGTAGCTTGTGGGATTTTTTTCTTTCTTTGTGCTATCACAGGTTTTAGTTCTACCTTAGCAGTATCTCTTCCAGTAAGTGTGAAAGTCTACTGGCTTATTCTAGACCACTGCATGAGTTCATTACTAGAGCAATGTTTCTGGCATCGCACCTGAGCCTCCACACAAATTTATTCTGCAGGGTTTTTTTCAATTTTAATCTTCAAGACTACACCTGGGAGAAAATTCACCAATTTGAAGCTCTAACAATGGGTTCACTATGTTTTGTTTTATTTTTAACATATTTTGTTCTGACTGCTGTCCATGACACCAATAGATCTTCCAGAAAAATATCATTTTGAGAGGAAGAGAGTCATTGTAAATAGTCCAATGGGACTTAAATCAGCAGCATTTATGAGGGTAAGTAATCTTCTCAAGCCAGAAATTTTAGCACATATTTCTACTATGTACTGATTTCCTGCTATTTCTGTAAGGCTCCATTTCATGATCCTTCTTCAGCCAGCCCATTCTTGGGTTTTCCACTTTTTCTCTATATTCCTATCTGCTACACCCCTAAATCCACGTTTATATCAGCCTTAGGTAGGTGTTGACAGGTATTTTAAAGACAATATAGACAGCTTTCACAGTGCTGAGATCTGATTATAACTGTTACATAGAAAACAGACTCTCTTAAACCAGCAAGAACATGTTTAAAAAATAAGAGAAAAAAAATACTTGGGCTTCTGGGAGAGAGCAGAGGAAAAACTTAGGCCTTTAATACTATTAATACCAAAGCAAGATCGGGTTGCTTAGGTCCTGACACATTACTAAGAGTTGGTAGCCATGCATAAGATGACAATGGTGATTATGTGTGGCTCTGGAAGAAACAATGACTTCAGAAGACTTGGCAGAGATCATTTAGTCTGAACCATTGGTTTCACTTTTTCTATCCAAAAAGCATTTGGATTGACCAATGCAAAAAGCATTTGGATTGCCTTTCACAAAGCTGTCTCCCAGTAGAATGGTTTCGAAGCACGGACAGGCACTAACCAAGTCTATAAACACTCCCTTTCTTTCCAAACACACTGTAGGTCATGTTGGCATCACTTACTCCGTTTCAACTCCCTACAGCAGAGTACCTGAAGAAAGGTAGCACCAAAGTGTTCTAAATACCAAATGTACCTTGCAATGCTAGAATCCTTAGGTTTTTAGATGCACATGCCCATCTGGAACCATTCATGCCCAGATTAAGCCCATGCAACTTGGCAGGTGTCTGAGACCTACAGAGTGGGAGTTTGTCAGAGTCATAGAATCATTTAGGTTGGAAGAGACCTCTAAGATCATCAAGTCCAACCATAAACCTGACACTGCCAAGTCTGCCACTAAAACATGTCCCTAAATGCCACATCTACATATCCTTAAGTGCCTCCAGGGATGGTGATTCCATCACTTACCTGGGGAGTCTGTTCCAGTGCTTGACAACCCTTTCGGACCCTGTAGTTCCCTTTGATAGTCAATGTAGTGAGAAGGATTTCTGAAGGGGGCATTTCGGTTCACTTAAGCCCCACATCACCCTTTTCTCTGTGACTATCAGAAAAGGTTACAGTGCTGACAGTCCCCATGCAAGATGCCTCAGGTGTGTACCTGCCCAAAGTAACACAGGATAAATCTGGGCCAGTGAGCATCAGTTTTAGAGTTACCACCTACTCATTTAAGATTGCAGGTGTCAAAATCCCCTGGAAACTAAGCAGTAAGTGCTACAAGGCCTTATACTCAATATTAGCTGACAAACTTGAGAACAACAATCTCTATGATGGAAAATGTGTGGGCGGATCAGGCATGGGAGGGGAGTGATTTGTGGACTCCAGAGACTGTGCTACACATTGTGACAGACAGCTTGTGCTAACAGCCAGGAAAGCACTCATTTTCAGCACAAAGTTGTGGGCTTCATTATGGTGGTTAGAATATTACCCCTGTCATTGCTGTCCAGGCTGTGCGAGGCTTTGCACTGTATTATGCAGAGAGCAGGGGCACCATTTTCAGTGTGTCAGCCAGCAGATTTCCAAAAATGCAGGTAAGAAAGCTGTGAGAATGAAGGGGTAAAAAACCTCACCAATGTCTTTTCATGTGTTTTTCATTCTTAAGACTCAAACTTCATTCCTTTTCTGTCATGACCAAGGCGATTCTACATTCTCCAGGGGAAAACTGGAATGTCGTGACCTTTAGGGTGAACCAGGCATGAAGCAAGACTTGTTATTTTCTCGCAAGGTTTGTGGCACTGAAGGGTTTTGAATGTTCAACTCACCCCGCTGTCAGTATATTACCTGGCTGGCTGTCCTTCTGCTTCAACTGATACCAAACTCTTTTGTTTTTCTTCCCAGCTTGGGGAAATATTTCAGGAAAGAAAACAGAAAAGTGTGTCTTCTTTCCTTCTGCTGCCCCATCTCCCAAGCACCTCCGTCCTCCATGATCAGACTGAGGCAACTTGCATTTAACACAAAACACTTAATTTACACATATGCTTCAGTCCACGTGTAAGTTTTCTAGGTGACAACTCTATCGGGGAAAATGCTGTTTAGATTGTGTGTGCAAAGTAAATGGCTTGTAAATACTTGAAAAAAAAAAAAGGTTAATTTTCAGTTGTGCAATAAACTTGTGAAATAATCCTCTCAATTCCTTTCCAGTGTCTGACTTGACACGTGCTGGTTTCAGGAACATACCAACTGTTGTTTCTTCAGACAGGATCAAAAAGAGAGAAGTCATGGACTGTTTGGCTTTCATCTTTAAGCTTTTTATTGCTTTTAATTTTGCATTGTCATCCCCTTTAAGTTGGTTTATTCCTCCAACCCTAGTTCAATCAGACACATTAGTACAAGGCTGTTCCCACTGAAGACAGGTGAGTCATCATCTCCTCGGAGTTAATCATATGTTTATCTGCTTTACTTGACCTTGACCTTCTTCCTGCTGTTGTCTTTCTGTAATCAAAGACAAGACTTTGGCAGATGGGGGCAGTTTATTCAGTTCATACATAAGCATGACAACAAGCAGATGAATACTCTACAATGAATGACAGCTCACCACCACCATGGGAGCAAATCCATCCAACAGGTTAGTATTGCAAAAGCTTTATCTGCTGTGTGGCAGCATGGATTTTCCATTATATAGGAGTCCTTCTCTTACTAATAGAAAAAAACTATGCAAAACACAAAAGCCTTCACTTTTCTATTACTTAACTCTTGCTGATAGGTTTTTCAGGTGCTCAGAGCTGCAACTGCATCTCTCCTAATCTAACTTACAGCTGGTATATCCTTTAGCACTAATAAGCAGAACCCGGGGACTACAGCTCTCTCCTTTCCTGCTTCATTTCTACTTGGTGGCCCAAGGCCTCTCTGCAGAACTTTGTTATCAAGAAAGGAGATGGGGGCACGAATGGGAAGACAGGTCAGCTGCATAATCTTTTGTGGTTTGTTTTGGTCTTTTTAAACAAAATTCAAAGTAGATTCTACTATAAAAGTGTGTTTGCTGAGGATGACAACACAGAATTTACATTCATAGGGACATCATAAAGAATAGGATGTCCCTGGATGTAGGATATGGAGCCTTTCTCAAAACTTGAATAGAATATGAACAAAAACTAATATAAGTTGGGAAACTAACTGAATTTCTTGGGTGTTTTTAGGCAATTACAGAATCAAATAGATTTTTTTTCTGGTGCAGGAACAGGCTGGAAGTCCAACAAGAGTTGGAAAGAAAAGGTTTTAGATACATTATCAGAAATATAAATACTTGGAAAAGTATATATACATAAAAATAGGTAGAAAAAGAATTCACAGAAAAGGAAGATGAAGGGCTGGAAATGTGCAAGTGGAAGTTTTATAAGCTGAACTTCACAATCATTGCAGAGAAAGAGAGAATCTGCAGGTGTAACTCCCTTAAATTCCCTGACTTTGCAGCAAGGCAAAGCTGGCTTGCTCTGGGAAATGAATGATTGAGCAGGTGCAAGAATTGAATGACATTAACTGTGTAAATAGCAGTCGCTTTTCAATAATCAGGCTCCCAGAAGGGATCCTCTGCCTATGCCATTTCCATATTACCCACAACCCTTCCTATCCATCCACCTCTGACGAATCAGTAGTAAAGAGCAGTGCTCCCTTTAGGATTTATGTTAAATATTAATACTCCAGGACAGATGCAGTAGGGCAGATTACAATGTGTTTAGCCTGGGGTCAGGAGTTATGTTTCATCAAAAGGGGGTATGTTGAGCTCCCAAGACTGAAGCAGTGAAGGGGCATTAACCCATTTCTGTACCTACTCTCCCCAAGGCTCTCTTTCTCTCTCTCTTTCTCTCTCTCTTTCTCTCTCTCTTTCTCTCTCTCTTTCTCTCTCTCTTTCTCTCTCTCTTTCTCTCTCTCTTTCTCTCTCTCTTTCTCTTTCTCTCTGTGATTCCTGGTGTAACTACATTAATCCTCCAACTGCTTTAAAAGAGGAGTTAGCTAGTGACTGGATTGGATGGACAGATGTGGGATGTGTGCGTGTTTGCTGCCTTGGGGTATTTTACACTGCTCAAAAGCCAGGTGTTAGGCTGGAGATGTTGATGAGAATTCTGCCACACATTTAGCCATTAAAATAGCATGAAAGAGGGTTATGTATATCCCTAGTCTGCCTCTTGAGTTTCCATCTCAGGTTTTCACAGACCAAATCTGGCTACCATTTCTTCATTTTCCTGTCACACAGCAGCACAGCCTATTGTGTGTGCTATTCCCTTGCCCAAATTATACCTCAAGAATAACTCTTCCATGATGGTAATATGAATCACAGGCCAAACCTTGACCTGTATGGTCAAGATAGCTTTAAAGTATCCAGAATCTGTGTAGAAAATTAAAATCAAAACCTAATTCACATGTCAAAATTTGGATTGCATAAGCCAAAGGCTGGGATATCCTGAAAACTTTAGTTTCGGTAATTTTGTGTTTGAACGTAAGTAAAAGCATACCTCATTCATAGCAAAGCCAAAAAGGGGGTGTCAGTTATACTAACCCAAATATTGCCTGTGGTGAAACTTGTAGCATCAGCTGCTCACTGAATAGCCTTTGTAAACCAGGCTGGGATTTTGCTGACATTCACACCACCGGCTCCAGAGCTGGCAATTTCAGATGGTAAATGGCAACAACCTCTTGGAGCAATTGTTTCAGGCTTTTGCTGATACAGCATCTTCAGTTATGTTGGGTTCTGATTTTGAAGGTTAATTTTTGCAATTATGAGTGCAGTACACATTTTCTTAAACAAAAGCCACAGTTTTGAAGTGGCCACCAGAGAGAAGATTGAACAACTCTGATGGGTTCTGCTTCAGGGCATAACAACAGTTCTTAAAAGCAATTGTTCCTCTTTCCTGAACTGCATAGGCAAGTGTGAGAATCCATACACAGTTGCCTTTCCTTTATCATGCCCTTGGATTATTCTTGCACTTGAGGATTCCCATGCATTTCTTGCTGAGAAGAGCTCTTTCATGTTGTTTCCAGGGAGCAGCCCACCTGTTACCACCCTGTTAGTTTCAGCACTGCTTCTAGAGAGACCCAAATCCTTATCCTTTCTTCAGCTGATTACTCTTTCTCGTTTCTGGGGGAGCACATGTGCCCACCCACACATCTGCTCATTATCTGCTCAACTTGAGCAATATTTGCAGCGAGTGGGAAAATTTTACTTAGGTTTGTGGTAAAGAAATTGGGAGATCTGTACTACTACTCTATCTTACTGATGTGTTGTTTTGTAGTAATCCAGGGGAAGTTTGTCAATTTAGGCTTGTCTATCAGGATTACCTGGACAAACCATTAGGGAAGCTTTAAGGAACAAAGCCATATCCAGAGACTCAAAGGCAAACCACCAATTCAGATTGCAGGCTCATCATAGGTGTCACTTAATTACCCAGAATGTTGTTTGTCTTACATATTTGATAATACCACCTCAGCCAGGTTAATATCTTGTAACTGATTCTTTGGTTAATGCCATATTTCCCTAAATAGGGAACTTGCCTCCTGGCATACCTGAAACATTAGCTGCAAGGACTACAGGAGTTATTCGTGTTAAGGCAGTTACGGCTTTTTAGCAGCGCTTGTCAGGATGCTCAGGGTGGCTGAAGCTTGGGGGGCAGGGGTGGGGATGTATGATGGTCTCCTGTGAGGGCACATAGGCCCCAGCCACAACATGTTGTATGTCACCTGGGTCACAGGGCACCCAGCCTTTACATTTGTTTTCCTGTGGTATAAGTCTGCGAGCTTCCATCTTCATGGCAATCTTTTGTTGAGAAATCCTTTGTGGCTCAAGAAGTTTCATTCGTTTTGTCTCTTTGGGAATGGTATTATATGGACATCTTCAGAGTCTTCTGCAAAGAAACTCTGTCCTGAAAGGAAATAAACATGAGATGTTCACCTAACGCATATCAGTCAGCTCAATTCCAAAATGACTTTAATAGGGGAATAAGCATCACAACTCAGAAGGCTGCCACACTGCTCCATCAAACAGCAGAGACAGCTCCCAAGCACCAGAAATGTCACTTTATAATGACATCATTTATTTATTCATCTATTATTTTTTTTTTATACCTAACACTGCCTGTTCTCAAGCCTTAAGTAATGTTCCTCCTTGGAGATCAGTTCTTGTTTTAGAGAAACTGCTTTCAGCCTTTCCTCACTTCTCTTTGTATTTTTCCATTATGCAGTGGCTCTTCATGTAGTGAGGCTGTGTGTTTTTATATGGGTAAGCTGGAAGCCTACAAACCACAGGACATTTCAAGAGTGGGGAGAAGAACTGCCATGGCCAATTTCTTCTTGCTCTCTGTGTGATACTTCACTCACAGAGATGATTTTTGCACAATGTCCCTCTGAGGTGCTGCAGGCTGGCAGAGAGTGTGGGAAATCTCGAGTTATTTCAGTGAGGCTCCATGGTTTCCTTAGGATTACTCAGAAGGGAGAAAGCAGAGGCACAAATCTGTGTCACTATGTCCCCATGCAGTGAACCCGTTAGCACAGCACTATCATGCTTTTGCTTTCCAGCATAGCAGAGAGGTTGGTACCATACATTGTAGCAATTCATGGATCAGAGCTTTCTTCTCTGACTGGGAATTGCCTTGCTATAGGAAAGTCCACCTTTGCATGGTCTGGCTTAATTTTATTGTATTCCCCCTGCTAAGAGGGTAAGTTTATTCTGAGCAACAGAAGCAGTCCACCAGTTCTGTTCATTCCAGTTAAGCGTGAAGCATAGGACCTTCACTTCCAATATCCTTTAAAGTAACAACAGGATGTTTAATTTTCAGCTGGAGCCTATAAAAGTCCTTCTGCTGCAGTGCTACAGCTACTCCTCTCAGCTACAACAAAACACATCAGAGGCTTAACAATTTCTTTTCCCTTTCCCAGCACACTGAAGAGCAGCCACAGCCTTGACCCTGAGCTGGGTGACTGTTCCCTTCAAGTTTCTGGCTGTCAGAAAAGGCAGGAACCAGGAGCTGGGGACCTCTTTCAGCTTGGTGTCTCAAGTTTGGTAGTTAGTTATCACACCTGAATCTTTGTGAAATGTCTGTTTGATGAGAAACAGATTTAAATAGGATGGTTCATTGATTTGATTAAGAAAAGTGATTAGTATGGCAGTGAAAACTTGTTAGTCAAAGATTTTTAACCCAG